ATCTGACTATCTCAAAAGTTCAAACTTCAGATACAAATGAAGTATTCTTTCTAGGATTCAAGAAGGTATAAGTCACCCATACAAAACAAATTATGGTTTGCTCACTTTAAAGCATAATTTTGTTGACCTCACAATTCTCCTTACATATGCAATCACTGTGACTTTGAAGTATTTTATCAAATCAAGTTCTGGTAGTAAGTAAAATAACTTATCATTCTATTTTCACTTTATCAGCATTTCAAACACACACTCTTACTAGAAATAATAAGCAAAGTCACAAAACTCCCACACACACTTAAATAAATAAATAAAGGAAGGAAATGATGACAACTGCATGCAAAGATCCAGTCCTTGCATCAGAAATCTCACACATACTCTCTGTGTCATGGCGGTCTGGAGAATCTTCCGGGAGTTTCTTTAAGTATTCACGAAGCAGCATTTCATAACGAGGGATGCGTTGTACAGGTGACAACATGTGATGCTGCAGGGTAAGGTTGCCACACACTTCCATTGACTGTTAAAGGGGAAATGTCATAACACATTAGCTACAGTCTGCAATTCAGTTTTAAAAAATGATGATTAAATGTATAAACAGGTGTTCTGGTACATTGAGAAAGAATTATTTATCTTTATATAAATGTCACATACTATATACCTAAAATAAAATGCATTCAGTTTTACCCGCAAGACTAATTCAGGTATGGATTTTAACTGGGTATAATTTTTATACTTACGTGTATTTCATCCATGATTGCAGCAAATCTTGGACATTTGGCTTGCCAAGAGTTAATGATCGTCATTGCATTGTCAAAGTTTCTCACATATTCAGTATACATCTTCAAGAATGGAGCAAAACTTTTCATTATATCACCTGGAAGCAGTAAGGCATTATGTAATGCACAAAATCTACAATGTACATACTTTCTATGGCTTGAAAATAATCTACATCTGTTTTTAAAGACTTCCTATGAATCATTTTCCACTCTGACAGAACCTAAACTTCTATCTATACAAATTATCACCACAACAAATTCCCTTCTTTTTTAATAAGTTTTCCTCACCGATTCTCCTGTTCTGTTCCCACTGAGCCATGCGTTCCTCGAGCTGCGGGAGAAGGAAGTCATGGTGGAGTTTGTAGATGGACTTGACATTGGAAAACATCTGGGGGATGATGTCAGCTGGAAAGAGGTGGTGCGCTCGGTTCTCTTGGTCGACACGGAACTGGAACTCCTGGTGATTTAAAGGCACTTGTAAAAGGTGATCTTTTATATCAAAAAATGATCTTTTATGTATCTCTTCACTAATTTCATCACAAGACTAGAGAATGTAATAGATATATCTTAATTATCAATCTGGCTATAGAACAATACTCAAAAGGGGAGGACAATAGCTACCCCCATAATCTAAGGCTTCCACCCTAAACTGTGCTTATAAAACAGGAATCACCACCATGTCCACAGGCTGCTCAAGTTACAATAATAGAAGTATGGCTTTATATTACATATCATTTTTACTCTATAAATATCATTTTGAGTTCTATATTTCTTTCCCCTATACCACATCAAAACTTCCCCTTGCAAAATTCTCTTGATTTGCCAATTGATCCAGAGTGATTTTAAAAAGGCATGCTTTTACTTGGTATACCATACAGTTCCCGGTTTCTTCCTGTGAGCAGTCATTCTCTTTTGAAAAGGGCATCTAGCACACACCTGGTCAATGAGATGCAGGACCTTCACATACGTCCTCTCGGTGTTGAGGAGTTCGTGAGCGATCCTATAGGCCTTATCCTTGCGCGCATCTACAGTGTGATCGAGCTCATGCACGCTTGTGGTGTCCTGAGCCAAGAGGGAAGACCGTGGGGAGGAAAGGTCGTGGCACGACTCTAGGTCACTGCTCCTGACGGAACTGTGGTCGTCGATCTCGGAGGGTTCGGTGCTGACCGCCTGCGGGAAGGGGCATTTTGTCGGTGAGATGAGAGGAGTTATTACATTCCTCTTGTCATTTTAGTGAACACTGTTTGAATCTTTATATCAAGACCACCTTGATTAACTAAAAGGATATTTTACTCGAACAATATACGGAAATTTCGATTAGATAATTCATTTTACAGATCATATCACGTAAGGTATTAAAAATCATTTTTGAACAACATCAATTTCTGATCAACTATAGTCATGTGCAGCGAGTTCCGAACCTGAGAGTTTCTCTTTGATTCGGTGTCCATGTCGGACAGGGGCGAGTGCGGGCGGGACTGAGAACGCGCCTGAGTCTTCCCGGCGGAGGGCGAAGGCGGCCGCGACCCCGATCTCGACGACGACGACCTTTGGGCGTGGGTGGAGGTCTGAGCTTGGTGGGTGTTCGTGCTGCCCTCCACCACGCCCCCCACGCCGCCCGTGGGTGTGACGAATTCCTCTTCATCCTCGCTCTCGGTCTCACTAACGCCCTCGCCGAATTCCTCGCTGAAGAACTGCGTCTCCGTGCACACTCTGGGGAGACTGATTGTATTAGGACACTCCCTGGGAGCAAAATACTCTTAAAACATTCCTGTGAAATTGTATAAGATTATGTGACTTTGGAGCATCGAACTACAAGTCTTTGTGTATGAAAGCACTTCAAACCGATTTCTTTCTGTATCTTTTGACCTTTGAATCTGCTGTTTTTTCCGTTTTTAGTACGCACCAACCTACAGCATAAAAGCGCACATTTGCGTCCCTGGCACTGTATCAACATATCCATATCCAAAACTCGATCCGACATCAATAAAATTATTTATTGATAACTCTATGTAAGGTCCGCACTGTAATATAGCTATTCAAAACTGCATATGAAATTTATGTTACTTGACAGTAATCCTGTCAAGAAGCCCTCCTCCCTCCTACGCTGGATTCGAAGTGCTTCGACTGCCAAACCCTAATGCAAGCGATTCACTTAATGATGCAATGCAGGATCCGAGGTTGCGACTGTACACGGGACTACCCAAGGTTAAGATTATTATCTTTATTTTCACTTTCCTAATCGCGATGGTACCGCATATGCAAAGAACATTTTTTTTTTATATGAAACTAATAATTAATTGCATCTACCCGTTTGTGAAAGATAAACCACAACGCTAGTCTATTTTTTGATACCTAGAAGACGAAAGTGACGATATAAAACACACACACACACACACACACACACACACACACACACACACACACACACACACACACACACACACACACTGGATAAAATTCAAAGAGAATTGTCTTTGAATTCTAATTTTCGTTCTGATTTTTATTCTTATAAATACTTTCATTATTAATTATACTCGTTTCTGAGGCATTGTTCACCTTTCATTCTGTTGCACACAAATGCAATATACATTCACACAAGAATACGTCAATAAGTGAAAGAACAAATAAATAAATCGAATATAAATATAGATATGGATTCTGAAATGATCCAGTGTGTTTACGAAAGTCCTGGTCAGGCTTCTTTCGTCGCGACCTTATGAAGACCGAACCACCAGAAGCTGTCTGCCGAAGGGGCAGAAGGGAGCAAGCAGCGGAGCCTGCGAGAGAAGGGCGTCCCGCAACGGAGAGGCAAGCAGCCAAAGGTCACTGGTCTGCCTACTTACCCGAGGCCCATGATGATGGTGCGAGGCCTCACGCTCGAGTACCTATAGAGTGAGACGGGTCGGGAGCGCCTCCGTTCCCGCAGCTCGACCTGTACCAGCTGCTCCCCGCCGTCGCCTTCGTCGTTAGTGTCTTCCTCGCTTCCGTCTTCGCTGAGTGTCTCGTCTGAGTCCTCTCGCTCTGTCTCTCCTGCCTCCGGCTCTTCTTTTGTCTGGTCTTCACGGCCCCCTCTGGCGTCTGTGGTCCCTTGCCCTTCCGCGCAGTCAATTTCCTTCGGTGAGTATTCATTCACTTCTTTGTTGCCTTCTTCGCGTACCCTCTCGTCCGCGCACTCTAGGAAGGCCTCTTGTTCCACACATCCTTCCTCCGCCATTTCGAGCGGAACTGTGTCCTTACGTACACTTTCCTCTTCCACGCAGATACTTCCTCTTCTTCCTCCTATCCCTTTTTCGTCGGCACACTTGGTATTCTTGAAACTATCCTTCCTCGTGTTCTCATAGTCGAGGCATTCGCGTTCTAATGCTCGCTCTCTCATGATCCGCTCGATCTCCGACACCCTCTTCCTTACCCATCCTGACTCGTGGCCCATCTCCTCATCCTTATTCTTCTCTGAACTTTCTTCTCCACCTCCTCCTTCTCCTTCACCCCCCCCTCCTCCTCCTACTCTCGTATTCATCCCTGCCTCGAACACTTCACGCTCCTCCTCGCCCTCGTAGTAGAAGACCGGAGCGCTGGAGAGGCTCTTGCTTTTCCTGAGCATGAATCGGTTGAGGAATCGGCCCGCGTTGTCCAGCAGCCCGACCCCGCCGCTCACACTGAACTTCCTCACCAGTTGACGCACGCGCGAGCTCCAGGAAGTGGAGGGAGCGGCTGGGGCGACAGCGGGCGGGCAAGAGAGTGGGGCGACGTACGTGGAGGGGAGGAACATGGGGGAAGTGACATCCACTGGCCTGGTGAGGGATAAGGGGGAGGAGGCGATACAAGTAGTGGGGAGAGACAAGGGAGGCAAAAGGTCCGACGAGGAACTGATCGGGTTCTCCGGGAAGTCGCTGAGGGACGCGAAGAGGTTCCTCATGACTGACATGCCCGTAAGGAAGTTCGTGGTCATGTCGCCGAATACCCCTTCCTCCTTGGCCACTGCGGTGCTGCTGCAGCCACCGTCGGCTGATAGGCTCCCTTCCCGCCCGCCCTGCGCCTCGCCTTCCAACTCAGTCCCTTCGGTTTCGCCGACTTCTGGCTCCCTGTTCCTTCTGGTTTCTGCGTCTGCATCTTCTCCCCTGCTTTCACACATTCCGCCACTCCCATTCCTTTCTCCGTCTGCCACTCTACTTGGCCCAACTGCCTCGTGTGCATCGCCGTCCTCCCGTCCGTCTTCTTCGCCGTCGCCCTCGCTGCCTGGGACGGCAGCCTCCTCTTCGCGGGGGACCGCAGCCGCCTCGTCATGGCAAGCGCCTTCCCACTCTCGGCTCGAGCATTCCAGTTTTCCATCCTTTTCTCTGCTTTCCTTTGCCTCCCCTTCAGTCATCTTTGCTTTCCGGATAGCTTATAAGTCTGCTCTAGCCATGGAGGCGATTCGTCCTGCGTGTCACGTTGTGCATTAATTCGAGCTGTTAACTACACTCTCATTCGTAATTATTATCACTGAATGTTAACACAAACGGGATGAAAGCAACGTCCGCTGCACCCCCACTTGCTAGTCTTTTTCTTTTGATGTTTCTATAACACAAATATATCAAATATATTATAAAAACTTGCCCCATCATATAGTTTGATATTTGAAAAAAAAATCTAAAATAACAGCAGACTGATACGTATAAAAGAAAACTTATCAGTAGCCATCGTCCAATTTATAATTAAACACTCAAATATCCTAAATGCCACACAAACATGTAGGCTTTCATAATAACAAACCAGAGGAAGTTGTGGCCGACTGTTTATCTCAGTTACTGTGACTTAATCAAAAGTTTTGCATTAATCAATTTCCTTTCACTGTGTGCGTGTGACAGTATCTCTCTCTCTTTCCCTCTCCCTTACACTTTCCCTTTAACACACGAAGAACATTCAAAGAAAAGGGACTGTACGGAAAGTGCACATGCACATATCCACGTACATACTCTCCCCCCTCCCTCCCTGCCTCTCATTCTCACCTCCTCCCTCCCTCCCTGTCTCTCATTCTCACCCCCCCTCCCTCCCTGTCACTCACTCTCACTCCCCCACTCCCTCTCCCCCCCTCTCTCTCCCTCACACACAAATATACAGACATAGACACACATACGTCAACCCGCGTCAATCAATCACATTCTACCAAACTAATGGATTCTCTAACACTGAATAAACACACGAACTACAAACAGTGATGGCAATGCAACTATCAAATAAGAATTATTGAAATGGCCTTTCGAAATGAGGCCATGTTGTTTTAACGTAATATTCACTTTCGTATACAAAAAGAAAAACAATGTTTATGCGATAGATAACCTGACATGTATAATGGAATCACTTATCGTCTTTGAATTTGGGCATACACCTGTATTGGTATATGGTGCCTACTTTCATTACTTATTAAAAACAAAACTATTAGGCGATCACCTTAACTATATACAAACACGCTTTTTATATAACAAACAGACAGAGGAAAGACATCACTTCAAAACAGGCCGCAACACCACTCAATTACATCACGACTGGACTACTTTTTCCTCTATTTTTTAAAAAAATCTTTTGACATAAATATCAATCGTGACACACAGCTCTTGTTAAGCAACGGACACGCTCTCGAGTCTTGCACCAAAACACTAACACAAGAATGTATGTCTCTTGACGAAACGCCTCCGGTTTATCAGCCCCCCCCCCTACCTACCCCTCCCCTGTGTCACATCCTTCCAGATCCCCCCCCCCGGGACTCTTCGCTCCCCTCCCCCATCGCCCCCCCCCTCCCCATTCTCCTTATCCTGCAGCAGGATGCCTCGTATCAGCGGGAATTCTGAGTTTTGACTGTTTTTTTTTTTTTTTTTTTTTTTTTTTTTTTTTTTTTTTTAATTGGGAAGATCATTAGCGGAAGAAACGTGATTAACATGAAAAAAGGAAGGACAGATAAAAGCGAAATGACAGATATGACAGACCCATTTTTCCACAAAAATATAAAAGAAGTGAAAAAATCTATGAACACTACATATCTATAATCAACAAAAATCACACAAAAAAAAAAAAACGCTGAGAAGGAACGTCGACGGATAGAGACACGAAAACGCGCAAACACAAACTGAAATAAACCGTGATTATAAAGAATCTTTAGAAAAATGCAACTGTAAAACTACCGACAAAACATAGTAAGGAATATAACAAACATGTGAAACACACACAAACAAACACACACACACACACGAAAATCATTATATCCTTATTTCGATAACTACTATGATGTGTATTGATAATGTTCCCCAACTATAATAGAAAAGGTTAGAAAATCGCTATATTAAATTTTCACAATGACGGCTTTGAAATTAAGTTTATAGCATCCTCAACTTATAATAATACCCTTTTAACAGTCCGAAGGCAAAGTGCTGGTGTTTGAGACTAATAATTAAGGATCTAAGTTTTCTTATAGTTCTCATTGGTTATCAATATGGCTGCCTATACATATTTGTACATCATTGTACAGATTTTAGTTTCCAGACAACAATCCTAGAATTAAAGTGTATATTTCAAGGAATTAATTCATAACCGAGGCTTTATCGCAATATAATGGGAGTCTTAAAAAGTAAAATCAACTTAAAGATATTAAAGACATGATCTCGAATGTTCAAATAACAAGCTTCACCAAATGCAACCCAGTGGTAGAACCAGGGCCGGATTATGACCTTTTGGGGCCCCTAGGCTAATGAAATTATGGGGTCCCCTCAGAATATTTTTCGCTCGTGATATATTTTAGCGACATTTAAATAGCTTGAAGTAAAATTATTGCAAATTCTTTAAATAAACTAGCATAGCTATCTTTTGTTTGTCAATAAAAATATTCTTTAAATACCACTATATTACTATATTTCAACACAACCGTAGTGATTTTTTTTTTATAACCAAGCTTGAGGGGCCCAGGGCTGCAGCCTATACTGGCCTATAGGATAATCCTGGTCCTGGGTAGAACGATAACGATGAACAAGTAACATAACTTTGGTGCCTCGTGTCCATTTTTACACATGATAAGAGAAATGCCAAGAACCGGATGAGAAAAGTTGGGTCTGTCGAGGAACACAAGCACACGCACACACACACACACACACACACACACACACACACACACACACACACACACACACACACACACACACACACACACACACACACACTTCCAGGAAAATGTGCGGCTCATACTGAAACTGAAGTTAACGTTATCCATATCTCCCTGTTAAACTGGAAATCATACATTTATACAGTTTTTTCATGGAATCTACGTTCTGTCTCAATCATATTACATACACAATTCTTGTTTGTCAGCATGTGACAAGCAAAGTGTGGATATCGATCTTGAGCTACCTCTTTCTTGGATTTTATACATTATTAAAGCTTCCTTCAAAGAGGACTGAGTTGATAAATTTTCAGTGCCATGAAAGCTGTAACATAAAGCACTATGATCGGTTTAGACAAGGTTCATTCATCTATGGTTTATATAAAACAAGAACAAGGCAGCGTGATGTGACCGCAAGAATCAGGCTTGGATATAGATTGTAATGGCAAGTCAGATTGGCCTATGTTACAGCCTTTCAGACCACGACTATGGGGTACGGAGAACTATGTAACTATTTCATATCATCTGATGTCTTAGAAGATATACTTTTATTGTATCCTAAATTTGGAATGTAGTATCACAGGACCGCATATCAAATGTAGCAATTCTTTTCCACGCGTGGCAGATGAGTAGATAAAGGACTGTGTAACTGTTCCTTTCCTTTGACTGATATCGTACTTCTCATAATGTTAGAGTCTAAAAAAAATCTTGTTCAGAAATAACTATTCAAGTATTTCCATTAAATATAAAGAGGTCATCGACATCTATTGATTAAACAAATATTCAGTGTTTTTTTGTTTTTTTTTTTTATAAATTTTATAGTATGTATTAAAGAATACTATTTTAATACTGAATAATTGTTAATACTTCATGTATGTCTCTCGAATACTGTATAAATAGTTCAGATTAAACGTCTAGTTTGGAGAAGTTAATCTTTTTCAACCCCCCCCCCAAAAAAAAAAAAAAAAAAAAAAAAAAAAGAATCGTACTTTCATTGAACTCTTCCATGAATAAAAGACTTTCGTGTGTGCAATACTCACTGGCAGACACTAGTTTACTCTTATGAACTACAGAAATTCCCACTTTTTTCTCGGGACTCCCTGCCCCCTCCCGCCCCCACTGAAAATTTACTACCTCACCCAAAAGGTTCAAATTTAAAATTGAATCTGAATTTACGCCCCCCCCCCCGCACACTCTCCCTCATATACACTACACAAAATAATTACTAAAATAATAATTATTATCTTTATTATTATTATTTCGATCATTATTACAATTTTCGCTATTCTCATTACTATTATTATGATCATTATTATCATCAATGTTATAATCATTAATGGTAATAATAATAATAAAAAAAATAATGCCGGCGATGTCGTATACAGTAAAATGATAATGATAATAGTAATGGTGGTGATGATGATGGTGATTATTACACTGCCAATAATACTGCTAATAAAATATATTAATAATGATGATCAGTGTCTTTGTTATCATCCCTTACATTAATAAAGTTACTACAACTGTCGTTATCAGATTCACTGTATGATGATGTAAAGGTATGGCGGTTGTGATAATCACTATGAAGCGAAAACAATCACATATTTGATAATTCTTATCGCTGAAACAGTAATATTCGCAATAATCACCAAACTATCGGAAATAACCCCACATGGGAAGAATAAACAAAACTGGGATCGGAAACGTGACGCAAACGTTTCCCAAATGTCAAGTGCCCAAAGAGGAAACGTTCAAGCCTGTCCAGCGGGGTCGAACGACTCGTCATACTTCCGTTGCCACCTCCACCCCTCTCCCCTCTTTCTCTTCCTATCCCCGTTCCCTAACCTCATTACACCCACTCTTATATGTTCCTGCATCTTCTCTATGTCAATCAGACACTTTACCTCTTGAAGTGCGTGAGCGCGAGGAGAGTCGTGTGGTAGGCCAGGTGTTGCTGGCAGTAGGGCACGGCATCATCGTTCGCGGAGGGGGCGTACACGCGCCGGAACAGCCTAAGCGGCACGGCGTACTCCGTCGTGGTGGCGTACACTCTTCGAAACAGCCTCTGGTGCAGGGCCATCTCCCTTGCGAAGAATGGCCACGCACGCCCTCAAACACATAAGCAAAGATGCCGAGTCTCTTAGCACCTTTGTTTACACCCACACGACCTGCTTCCACCACCAAGATCACCCAACGAGTGGCCCAGCCCTCCCCCCCCCCCACCACCCGAGACACCCAGCGCTCGAGGAGACACGAACCGGAGGTCAAAACCAGCCAACGGGCGTCATCCCCCGCCAATGGCCGAACGACCCCGCAGCCATCGTTGGGGTCGACCTCTGAACGAGAGAAAAAATAATCAAAGCAATAAGGAGATGAACAAAGGAGACGGCCCTTCGCTTCCCTTGACAGAATTAGACGTCCAACAGCTGCTCGTTTACATGGACGAACGCGTCTGCTGATATCATAATAATTTTAGTAAACTCTTATGCGCCTAAAGCAAGGTTTTACGGCAGATGGAGCTTCAAAATTACTCTGAAATTACTTGGATCTCCACTTTCTCTCCATTCTAGGACAATAACAGTACGCTTGTAATGACTAACAAGAAGAGTAAGAAATGACAAGACTAATAATAATATGAAAACAAAAACAATCGCAAAATTTATGATTATGATGATGATTGATGGTGATGGTGGTGACGACGATGATGGTGATAATGATGATGATGACAATATGATACAACTACTACTACTACTAATAATGATATAACAATACTAGTAACAATAATGATAATAAAATAATCATTATGATTGCATTGATAATAAACAATAACAACAAAGAAAATTATAATAATAAAACTCATAGCCATGATTACGACGGTGAGGATGATTATCACCATGATGTGATGATAATACTACTACTCTTACTCTTACTACTACTAATAATGAACACAATAATAATAATAATAATAGTAATAATAATAATAATAATAAAAACAATGATAAATAATAATGTCAAAACTAATACTAATACTATTATAACAATAATAATAGCAATGATAATAATAATAACAATAGCATTAACGAATTTTTAATACAATAACAACAATAATAATAAATAAATAATAACAAGTGCCACTGATGATGATAATGATAATGATCATGACGATGTGACTAGTAATAAATACAATAAAAAGCTGCTCATGGGTACCATCAATACTGTTCCCTCCACTGCAGTTACATCTGCTGTCATTTATGCCAATCGTAATGACAGGATCGTGATGGCTAAACGTGTCAGCTGTCATTCCTTTCTCACCTTTATGCCCACGATCTGACCATTTCGATATTAATTTCTCTTCCCTGACTTAAAACGCTCTTCCACGCACCTTAAACTACCTCCTTATTTCTTCACTAAACATTCCTTATTGTCTTGCCATTCTACTCTTTTGTTTTCCTCTCGCCTCTCTCGTTTTCTGTTATTTCACAGCTGTTCGCCTCACCACAGAAAACGCAGAACGTTCGGG